CAGCACCGAAGCTACGGAACAAAGTAGGCTACCAACAACCCGGCCTGGATTATAGCCTTCAGGAGGGAGGCAGGACTCTATTCACACATATTACCGTCAGCCCACCTGGCCAAGGGATTATCTGCCAATGACATCTTCGGGCTGCAGTGAACTAAGCAGGACGAAAGAGACTTCCCGAGGCTTATGACCCATTCTCAGCAAGGTCAGCAGGGGCCCTGGGAGCGGTCAAAATGTTTATAGCACATATGAACAAGTGCGTTCTCTTTCCTGAACCCTTACACGGACGATGTCGAATAGCATTGTCTGTACGAATACTACAGCTAAATCGCTGCATTCTAGCGGAGATAACAGCACCGAAGCTACGGAACAAGTAGGCTACCAACAACCCGGCCTGGATTATAAGCCTTCAGCGGAGGAAGCAGGACTCCATTCACACATATTACCACGTCAGCCCACCTACAAGGGGATTATTATCTCGCCAATGACATCTTCGGGCTACGGAACGGCACGAAGAAAGATTTCCGGGCTTATGACCGATTCTATGGGCCGATTCTCAGCAAGGTCAGCAGCGCCTGGGAGCAGTCCAAAATGTTTATAGCATTATATGAATTAAGTGCGTTCTTTCCTGAACCCTTACACGGACGATGTGGAATACATTGTCTGTACGAATACTACAGCTAAATCCGCTGCATTCTAGCGGAGATAACAGCACCGAAGCTACGGAACAAGTAGGCTACCAACAACCCGGCCTGGGATTATAGCCTTCAAAGCGGAGGGAGGCAGGACTCTATTCACAATATTATTACCGTCAGCCCACCTACAAGGGGATTATCTGCCAATGACATCTTCGGGCTGCAGTGAACGGCAGGACGAAAGATTTCCGAGGCTTATGACCGATTCTCAGCAAGGTCAGCAGCGCCCTGGGAGCGGTCAAAATGTTTATAGCACATATGAACAAGTGCGTTCTCTTTCCTGAACCCTTACAGGACGATGTCGAATTACATTGTCTGTACGAATACTACAGCTAAATCGCTGCATCTCTAGCGGAGATAACAGCACCGAAGCTACGGAACAAGTAGGCTACCAACAACCCGCCTGGATTATAGCGCTTCAGCGGAGGCAGGACTCTATTCACACATATTACCGTCAGCCCACCTACAAGGGGATTATCTGCCAATGACATCTTCGGGCTGCTGTGAACGGCAGGACGAAAGACTTCCGAGGCTTATGACCGATTCTCAGCAAGGTCAGCAGCGCCCTGGGAGCGGTCAAAATGTTTATAGCACATATGAACAAGTGCGTTCTCTTTCCTGAACCCTAGCACGGACGATGTCGAATACATTGTCTGTACCCAATACTACAGCTAAATCGCTGCATTCTAGCGGAGATAACAGCACCGAAGCTACGGAACAAGTAGGCTACCAATAACCCGGCCTGGATTATAGCCTTCAGCGGAGGGAGGCAGGACTCTATTCACACATATTACCGTCAGCCCACCTACAAGGGGATTATCTGCCAATGACATCTTCGGGCTGCAGTGAACGGCAGGACAAAAGACTTCCGAGGCTTATGACCGATTCTCAGCAAGGTCAGCAGCGCCCTGGGAGCGGTCAAAATGTTTATAGCACATATGAACAAGTGCGTTCTCTTTCCTGAACCCCTACACGGACGATGTCGAATACATTGTCTGTACGAATACTACAGCTCAATCGCTGCATTCTAGCGGAGATAACAGGCAACTGGAAGCTACTGGAACAAGTAGGCTACCAACAACCCGGCCTGGATTATAGCCTTCAGCGGAGGGAGGCAGACTCTATTCACACATATTACCGTCAGCCCACCTACGAGGGGATTATCTGCCAATGACATCTTCAAGGCTGCAGTGAACGGCAGGGACGAAAGACTTCCGAGGCTGACCGATGATAGACGACCGATTCTCAGCAAGGCCGCAGCGCCCTGGGAGAGGTCAAAATGTTTATAGCACATATGAACAAGTGCGTTCTCTTTCCTGAACTCCCCTACACGGACGATGTCCAATACATTGTCTGTACCGAATACTACAGCTAAATCGCTGCATTCTAGCGGAGATAAATAGCACCGAAGCTACGGAACAAGTAGGCTACCAACAACCCGGCCTGGATTACAGCCTTCAGCGGAGGGAGGCAGGACTCTCCATTCACACATTATTACGTCAGCCCACCCACAAGTGTGGGATTATCTGCCAATGACATCTTCGGGCTGCAGTGAACGGCAGGAGGAAAGATTTCCGAGGCTTCATGACCGATCCTCAGCAAGGTCAGCAGCGCCCTGGGGCAGGTCAAAATGTTTTCTTTAATATATGAACAAGTGCGTTCTCTCTTTCCTGAATCCTTACACGGACGATGTCGAATACATTGTCTGTAATGAATACTACAACTAAATCGCGCTGCATTTTAGCGGAGATAACAGCACCGAAGCTACGGAACAAAGTAGGGTACCAACAACCCGGCCTGGATTATAGCCTTCAGCGGAGGCAGGACTCTATTCACATATTGCCCCGTCAGCCCCCACCTACAAGGGGATTATCTGCCAATGACATCTTCGGGCTGCAGTGAACGGCAGGACGAAAGACTTCCGAGGCTTATGACCGATTCTCAAAGCAAGGTCAGAAGCCCTGGGAGCGGTCAAAATGTTTATAGCACATATGAACAAGTGCGTTCTCTTTCCTGAAACCTTACACGGACGATGTCGAATACATTGTCTGTAAATGAATACTACAAGCTAAATCGCTGCATTCTAGCGGAGATAACAGCACCGAAGCTACGGAACAAATGGAGGCTACCAACAACCCGGCCTGGATTACAGCCTTCAGCGGAGGCGGCAGGACTCTATTCACACATATTACCGTCAGCCCACCTACAAGTGGATTATCAAGCCAATGACATCTTCGGGCTGCAGTGAACGGCAGGACGAAAGATTTCCGAGGCTTATGACCGATCCTCAGCAAGGTCAGCAGCGCCCTGGGAGTGGTCAAAATGTTTATAGCACATATGAACCTACGCAATCGCCGATCCAATACTGATCACCTTCCCAAACACCAGCAACTTTGGGGGGTGCTGCCGTCCAGCGGAGATAACAGCACCGAAGCTACGGAACAAGTAGGCTACCAACAACCCGGCCTGGATTACAGCCTTCAGCGGAGGGAGGCAGGACTCTATTCACACATATTACCGTCAGCCCACCTACAAGTGGATTATCTGCCAATGACGTCTTCGGGCTGCAGTGAACGGCAGGACGAAAAATTTCCGAGGCTTATGACCGATCCTCAGCAAGGTCAGCAGCGCCCTGGGAGTGGTCAAAATGTTTATAGCACATATGAACCTACGCAATCGCCGATCCAATACGGATCACCTTCCCAAACACCAGCAACTTCGGGGGGTGCTGCCGTCCAGCGGAGATAACAGCACCGAAGCTACGGAACAAGTAGGCTACCAACAACCCGGCCTGGATTACAGCCTTCAGCGGAGGGAGGCAGGACTCTATTCACACATATTACCGTCTGCCCACCTACAAGGGGATTATCTGCCAATGACATCTTCGGGCTGCAGTGAACGGCAGGACGAAAGATTTTCGAGGCTTATGACCGATCCTCAGCAAGGTTAGCAGCGCCCTGGAAGCGGTCAAAATGTTTATAGCACATATGAACCTACGCAATCGCCGATCCAATACGGATCACCTTCCCAAACACCAGCAACTTCGGGTGGTGCTGCCGTACTTGCGCGGCTGGGTAAAGGGAGCACCACCAGCCCAACTCCTGCCGCAGCCGCCTGGAGCCTACGCCAGTCACAGCCCCAAGCGCAGTCAGCCCCAGACGGCTATCAGTACGGTCAGCCGAGTCCACGCTCCCCTGTGCCCACGTACACCCAGTTGAGCGGAGGAGGGCGCGCGGCGTAATTTATTATAGGTATTTTAGTTATTAAAGAAAACGGTGCACTTGTGTATACCTATTGTTGCGGACCGGTGTGGACTCGACCTAACCTAACAATATGGCCCGCCCTCGGATGACCCTAATATCGCCTAGACACCGTAACATGGCCTATTATTGGGAAGCTTACCGGACTCATATAGCTTTCTAATTACCGCGTTGGAAAGCCGACCAGCTAACGAGTTTACTCTGGAATTTGTAAAGAGTAAGTTAATACACGAATATAGGAGACGTCAGGGAGCTGCCAAAATACAGGAAGAATCGGTGATGAAAACAGTTTATAAAAGGGAAACATCGGCTCCGCCAAAAGATGAGTCGAAACATTGCTATTTTTGCAAAAAGAAGGGCCACTTCAAAAGGGAATGCTTTAAGTATAAGGCATTGAAAAATAGCAAGGAAAAGGCAAATGTGGTCACCGAGGGAAACAGTGATGAGGCATGTTTTATGGTTGATGAATCATGCTTGAGCTTAAAGGACGTCCAAGGGCATACTACCTCGTGGTTTATTGATTCGGGCGCGACGAGTCATATGGTAAATTTTAAGGGATTTTTTAAGAACTTTGACGAGAGTAGGAAGGGTGTCGTGCGGCTGGCGTAAAAGGGACAATATCCCAAAGTCGAGGGAATTGGTTCGGGCGATATCAAGTGTACGGTCGGTTCGAAAATTAAAAGTTTGGAAATAAGTGACGTATTGTTCGTTCCACAACTCGACTGTAACTTAATATCGGTGAAAAAGCTGACAAGTGCGGGATATAAAGTTCAAAACAACGACGAATGTAGCATTTTCAAAAGCGGAAAAATTGTGGCGACGGCGAAACTTTCTCCGGAACTGTACAAAGTGTCAACGGTTGAACAAGTGCTTCAAGTTAGTGAAAACCACAATGAAAACTGTCAACATTCGTGGCATCGACGATATGGACATCGGGGGATTGAAAGCATAAAGCACTTGGCAGAAAAGGATTTAGCAATCGGGATAAAAATTACAGATTGCGGGATACGGAAAATTTGTGAATGCTGTATAAAAGAAACAGGAACCGATGGACGATACCAGAAACGATTCCGGGGTCACGTCTGAAAGCGACTGCCCATCAGCTTCACCCGAAAGTGACAGAAGTGGTAACCACAGATTCCATACACCACCACCACAGGATGGAGACTGCAGGACCGACGCTAGCCATAATCATTTCACCGGCTCGCAAGTTCCGTTCGGACAATGCGCATATTACAATGGTAATTTATCCATGCCATCAACTTCAGGAGGTGGCGATTCATCAATAAGCAACATGGATATTTCGAGTCAAAACGTCGACAATTCTAGTGATAACGATCTAACTGATATTAACAAGCCCAAATTCAATTCACATGGAAAAGTCAAACAGCACAAGTGCAAGCACTGTAAATATGTCGCTATTACCAAACTGGACTATTGGGAACATTCAAAAATCCACATTAAAAGAGATAAAATGTTAAAGTGTCGAAAGTGTCCGTTTGTCACAGAATTTAAACACCACCTAGAGTCCCACATTATGAATCATAACGGAACCAAGCCTTACAAATGTGATTCTTGTAATATATATACTGTCTAAATAACTCTATGCTACGATCGCACCAGAAATCGCATTCAAAAGTTTACCAGTACCGATGTTCAGATTGTGTTTACGAGACCAAATACGTTCATTAGTTAAAGTTGCATTTGAGAAAATACAATCATCAACCCGCGATAGTTCTGAACCCAAAAAGGTACAGGACATTTATACTAGAACAGACAGTGACATGTGAAAACATGCAATGGAAGAAGAAATGAACTCAATGAAGAAAAATAACACCTGGGTTTTGGTTCCTATGCCAAAGGACAGAAAAAATTATTCCTTGCAAATGGGTATTCAAATTAAAAACAAGCGCAGACAAATTGCAAAATAAGTATAAAGCACGGCTTGTGGCAAAAGGATTTGTACAAAAATATGGAGTCGACCATGACGAGGTCTTTGCACCTGTAGTGCGACAGACCACTTTCAGAACATTATTAGCCGTAGCAGGAAAAGAAAAAATGATAGTCAAACATTTTGATGCAAAGACGGCATTTCTTAATGGAGATCTTAAAGAGGACATTTATATGGAACAACCGGAAGGGTTTGTTATACAAAGTAGAGAAAATTTGGTTTGTAAACTAAACAAAACCATTTATGGACTAAAACAATTGGCAAAGGCATGGAATGAAAAAATTAACGGAGTTCTAGAAAAATATAGTTTTCGCAAAAGTGAAGCCGATCCGTGTCTTTATGTAAAAAATCTTAATAATGAAAAACTTTATCTTATAGTTTATGTCGATGATTTTTTAATCGCAACCAAGGACATTAAGGAAATTAATTTTGCGGAAAAATTGTTGAAAGCATTTTTTGAAATATCAGATTTAGGTTTTTTGCAGAATTATTTAAGCATATACATTCATAGGAACAGTAACGGGATATATAGCCTTAGTCAAGCACAATATATCGATAAATTGTTAACAGGTTCGGAGTTCAAAATGCTAAAAACTCAATGGTACCGCTTGATCCTGGCTATCTAAAATTAGAACGACAAAAATCTGTTATGAAAAATAATGACAAATATCAACAACTGATAGGGGCTTTGCTATATTTAGCAGTCAATACAAGGCCAGATATCATGACAAGCGTAACAATCTTAAGTCAGCATAATCAAGAACCCACAGAAAGTGATTGAAACGAAGCGAAACGTATTTTGCGATATTTAAAGGGATCTAAAGATAAAAGACTTATGCTTGGAGAATTAAATAATAAAAATACGTTATATGGATATGCCGATGCTGACTGGGCTGAAAACAAACAAGGCAGAAAGTCGAACAGTGGTTATTTGTTTAAACTGTATGGAGCACCGATAAGCTGGGCATGCCGAAAACAAACGTGTGTTTCCTTGTCATCAACTGAAGCGGAATATATTGCATTAGCAGAGGCGTGTCAAGAGGCAATTTGGCTAAAACGATTAATAAACGAATTTCTGGAAAAAGACCCTGATATAGTCATATTTGAGGACAATCAGAGTTTCCTAAAGCAGATATCAAATCGCAAGTTTAGTAACCGCACCAAACATATCGATACAAAGTATCATTTTGTTAAAGATCTTGAAGAAAATAAAGTAATAACATTTAGGTATTGTCCAACCGAAGATATGATTGCCGATATGCTAACCAAGCCATTAAATAGGGTTAAGTTAAATTATTTAATGGAAAAGGGAGGGCTAGTTGATTAATAAAAGTTTAATTATTATTATAGTTGAGGAGGGGTGTTGGAAAACAGCATTAATAATAATTAATAAATAGGTGTTTTATATATAAACGTTTATTTATATTGCTCGTTGGAAAAACAACAGTGTCATTATGTGAGTCTGTCGGAGACGGTTGTTTTTTGATTATATTTTAAAAGACGCTTATACAGCATCACAAGTTAGTCCGGCTCTAACAATCGACCGAGCAAGCATATCGGGATTTGAATTTCAATAAGTTTTAGTTCTGTTGTAACAGTTTTATAACTTCATAAAATAAAGCATATTTTTGAGTGTTCTCATTATCAATTATTACAACAAAAAACCAAAAAAATTACAATACTACGAGTATATGTGGAGAACAACGAAGCACTGGTAAACAAAAAAGATGAATTCTTTGAAAAGCTTTCAAGAGAGATCTTAAAGATAGCAACTGCAAGGGAAGTTATAGTTGCCGGAGATATGAATGCTAGAACTGGAAAAAAGATCAACAATAAAACGGTAGGCCAGTTTGGAGAGGACACCATAAACGACAACGGATACAGACTTATTGCTTTATCGGAACACAATCAATTGAAGATCTTAAATGGTTTTTTCGAACATCCACTAATACACAAATACACTTGGACAGAACATACCAAAAAGTTAAGATCAATCATAGACTACATCTTAATACGTCTATAGACCAAATTAATAACAGAAGATGTTAGAGCATACAGAGGACCGACTTGTGGTAGCGACCACTATTTGATAAAAGCAAAAATTATATTCCCATGGAAAGGTGCCAAACCAACCAATAAACACGACGATGAAAATCCAGAAGAAGTAGATATAATCAAATACAATATATCAAGTCTAGACCATCAAAGTGTTAAAGAACTTTATCAAAAACGATTAGATGAAAAGCTACCCCGGGTACCGTTCAACACTGCAAAAGAACACTATCAATGCCTTAAGAATTGTATTCACGAAGCGGCTTATGAAGCATTGGGAGAACGGAAGGCTAAGGAAAAAGTATTACAATACTGGTGGGACGACGAAATTGAAGGAGAAATTGAATTAAAGAGGAAAGCTTACAAACAATACCTAAGTTCAAAGACACATCCAGATAAAATCAGTTATAAGGAAGCTCAGGCTAAGGTACGTAAAATGATAATACAAAAGAAAAACAAAAGCTGGGAGATGAACTGCAGTAGAATAAACACTTATCTTGGGGGAAGGAAAAGTAACGAAAGTTGGAAACTATTAAAATCACTAAGACAAGACACAAAAAATGAACTCATTTCACCAATAAACCTAAAAGACTGGGACAAATATTTCAATCAATTATTAAAAAAAAACAGAAAGGAATTCTTAGACCAACAAAAGCAGTCGTCCAGTATCCAATTAATAGCATCCCCAATTAGAATAAAACCAGTTGAAGTGAAAAATATATGTCTGGGATTAAAAAACGGAAAATCTGTAGGACCTGGAAACATACCACCGGAGCTTATAAAATACGGCACACAAAAGCTATTTGAACACCTTACACAAATCTTCCAAAAATGCAAAAACGGTATGAAAACACCAGAAGAATGGAAAACATCCAATATGACGACAATTCACAAAAAAGGCAGGAAAGATCAATGCTAAATAAAAATAATTTATTGACGCTTCCCGTCTCGTCTACGATGGTGTGCGTGAAATTCGTCGTGCTGTACTTATGAATCGGGCCGACGAAGACCTAGACCCTGAAGATGTGGAGCTTGATGAAAATTACACATTAGAAATCAAGAGCAAATCAAGTGCCCATACGGGAGAACATAACGTAGATGAATATCCGGAGATAAGCGGTATAACGACAGCTCGCGAAGCCATGGGCAAGATGCCTGAGGAAGCCAAACAGAAGATCGTCCAACAGGTGGAATATTTCAGGAGCGAGAAGCTCAAGTTTGACAGGGAAGTGGCCAAGTGGGATGACACGGGCAACGACATCATCGTTCTGGCGAAACACATGTGCGTCATCATGATGGAGATGACCGGCTTCCATGATGACATGATTGATGACATCCATTGTGGTTAAAAACCACAATGGATGTCATCAACGTGGCGAAAAAGATATCCGAAGCCGGCACAACCTGCAGGACCTGGAAACATACCACCGGAGCTTATAAAATACGGCACACAAAAGCTATTTGAACACCTTACACAAATCTTCCAAAAATGCAAAAACGGTATGAAAACACCAGAAGAATGGAAAACATCCAATGTGACGACAATTCACAAAAAAGGCAGGAAAGATCAATGCGATAACTACAGGGGTATAGCTGTATCCAACACTCTCGCTAGAATATATGGCAAAATTCTCACACGAAAAATAGAAGACGAATATAGGGACTTAGAAGCTGAAGAACAGGCTGGATTTCGGGCAGGAAGATCTACAGCTGATCATCTTTTCAGTGTCACACAAATACTGGAAAACAAAACTGCATTCAACCAAGAAATACATATGCTTTTTGTTGATCTTAAAAAAGCATATGATAATATCCCACAAAATAAGCTATGGGAAGCGTTACAAAATACAAATATCAACGCAAATTTAATTAGAGCAGTGAAGCTAAGAAACTAAGTAGAAACATATGAACAAAATACTACCAAAGTCAAACTAGGGAGAAAGTTATCAAAGGGGTGCCAAGTTAATAAAGGGCTTACACAAGGATGTTGTCTCTCACCATTACTTTTTAAAATTTATCTTGAACAAGCACTAAAAACATGGAAGCGGAAATGCAAAAACATGGGAATACCACTAACTGATGATTCCACCCTATATACGTTATGCTTTGCAGACGATCAAATAGTGTTAGCTCAGGATTATGAAGATCTACAATATATGTCAAAAAACTCATAGGAGAATACAAGCATTGGGGTCTTGAAGTAAACCTATCTAAAACGGAAACATGTGTGTTGGTGGTACACAACAAGATCTAAAACTTGAAGAACAACATCAAACAATAAAGCATTGTAACAAATATAAATATTTGGGTATGACTATCACACAGGACGGGACAACGGAGCAAGCAATCAACCATTCCCCCGAAAGAAATTCACTCAGAAAGCAATTTAGTTGCTTTGTCCAACAAAGAAGACTCATTAAGTTTGCATTAAATATCAATTTGCCCTCAGTATACCCCTCGATTTTTGTTATAACTATCACAAACATTTCCAGATCACTAACAGACACATTTTAGGCATGTTAAATTCAATCTACACAACTAAATTTCATCGTCAAAACTCAGTAAATCGAATTTCTTCTGATGTTGAAGGTTCC